TCGTCCGTCTCTCCTCCACCCAAGTACACACTCTCTCCTTCGTCCGTCTCTCCTCCACCCAAGTACACACTCTCTCCTTCGTCCGACTCTCCTCCACCCAAGTACACACTCTCTCCTTCGCCCGTCTCTCCTCCACCCAAGTACACACTCTCTCCTTCGTCCGTCTCTCCTCAACCAAGGTACACACTCTCTCCTTCGCCCGTCTGTCCTCAACCCAGGTACACACTCTCTCCTTCGTCCGTCTCTCCTCCACCCAAGTACACACTCTCTCCTTCGCTCGTCTCTCCTCAACCCAGGTACACACTCTCTCCTTCGCTCGTCTCTCCTCCACCCAGGTATACACTCTCTCCTTCGTCCGCCTCTCCTCCACCCAGGTACACACTCTCTCCTTCGTCCGTCTCTCCTCCACCCAAGTACACACTCTCTCCTTCGTCCGTCTCTACTCCACCCAAGTACACACTCTCTTCTTTGCCCGTCTCTCCTCCACCCAGGTACACGCTCTCTCCTTCGCTCGTCTCTCCTCCACCCAAGTACACACTCTCTCCTTCGTCCGTCTCTCCTCCACCCAAGTACACACTCTCTCCTTCGTCCGTCTCTCCTCCATGCAAGTACACGCTCTCTCGTTGCCCGTCTCTCCTCCATGCAAGCACGCACTCTCTCCTTCGTCCGTCTCTCCTCCTGCAAGTAAACGCTCTCTCCTTGCCCGTCTCTCCTCCATGCAAGCACGCGCTCCCTTCTTTGCCTGTCTCTCCTCCATGCAAGTACACACTCTCTCCTTTCCCCGTCTCTCCTCCACCCAGGTACGTACACGTTCTCTCCGCCATATTCTATAAGCCTAAGACTGGTTAAGTTGTATGTGATCGAGAAGAGAAGAAGTCCAATGGTCAACGAAATACCCTGGACTAACTAGATCAGGCATTTCAGAAAAGATACTAGTATAACCTTACGGAGGGACAACCCGCCGGTATGTCTACTGTCTGGTTTTATTTTCGAATCCCAATGGTACTGTACACTGCGTTCCCTTGGAACCTCATCTCACATTAAAACGGTTAAACACTGTTAAAAGCGAGGTTACACCGAATATCACTCGCTAACTTAAATGACTTCTTAACACGCATATCCACTACTCATCATCCACTTCTTTGTTCTAGTTTTGTCTCACATGCCTCCTGCAATAAGAATTAACACATAAATGAACTTAATTATACGTAACGCTTTAGCTTCATTACATAGTTACGAAAAACACCACGCCGAACCTGATCATTTCACGCAATATGCTTCAGAGACTATTTTGCATGTTGTCTCGACGAGATATTTTACGCATTGTGACTTCCAAGCCACGAATACATTACAGAAAACCTCCAAGTATGTGTATGGGTTTTCCTGTAAGCTTTACCTTTGTTTTCAAGAGGCACGATTGCATCTTGACTCGTAGACCGCCGCACATGCATATCCGTTAGACGCGAGAGAGACTGGTTACCATAGGAATGCGCTCCTACAAGTAATCCTAGACAGGACTGTCTGTGCCAGTAATTGTGATAAATGCCATGGGAAAACGCAGTAAATATATCTGGGACTCTTACTATTGCGGCCTTGGTCTCTGAGGTCAAATGGCAATCTGCTGTTCAGATGCAAAGAGTCTGAACTCTGTTGGGATTCCTTGGGGGAACGATATTACTAATCTTTTGTTAATAGATATTCGTAAGAGAATATCTGATATGAAATCAGCTGGTATATTGTCATTTTCAAACAAAGACATAACTGATGAAGTCACGAAATAGGTTTCAGAGATGTTACAACGATGTCATTAGTGAGTGAGTGAGTATGGTTTTACGCCGCCTTTAGCAATATTCCAGCAATATGACGGCGGGGGACACCCGAAATAGGCTTCACACATTGTACCAATGTCGGAACGATATCATGAATGGTATGTGTGATGGTGCATCACTTATTATATGAATAGTATTATTTGCTCCGCAGAGTCCAACCGGTCGTGCCAGGAAACCCAAAGTATTAATCACGCATGGCATTCCACGGTCGCCTCCCTGTAGAGGAAGGGGACATAAAATAACAAAATTTACTCGTGGGGGGAGCATATCCGAGCGAGCGCTAGACCCACTTGTCCTAAACCACCTATCCGCCTTGAGATAAGGGATGTACAATGACGATACACGGTTGTAAGATTACTTCGGTTTGTTTGCATGAAGATCAAGATACATAACGCTAGATAATTATGTAAAAGTCAACTCGCATTACCTGTAAAATTGGACCATACTCTATTAATGGCTATTTTATTTGAGGGCGGTGTTGTAGCTATGCCTTGAAATTGTTGCTCGTCACGCTGAAGGCCCGAGTGCGATTCACCACATGGGTACAATGTGTGAAGCCCATTTCTTGAGTCCCCTGCCAATAAATTGCTGCGATATTGCTGAATGCGGAGTGAAACCTCACTCACTCACTTGCTGATAAGTTTTCTTTTTGTTTTCTTTTCAAACATGATACATTAACTCTACATAAAACACCACTTTATACTGTAGAAATGCCACAATAAAGCTGTGTATTCAAGTCGTATAATACTTAAAGGATAGTCCAACATATGGCAGGACATATAATGACCACCATTGAACAGAGCTAACTGGAATCACGAACACATTTTTGATAATGAAAGAGTCATTACCAGGCAGATTTGTTCGGTAAGATAATATGACAGTACGGTGTGTACTAAATCATGGGTAAATATTACAATTGAGTCGCAATTGGTCCATTGCCCATGGGATCATGAAGCTAATGGACAGTGTTTACATCACTGACCGGCTTTCCGCGTGTTTGTCATTCATATTCCAGATCTTATTAGTTGACTGCACGATCTCACATTGCCAGGATTTCGCTGGCGTTATCAGTGAAGATCATTCACAATTACTTCTCATAAAAAACGATGTGGTGTTACGTAATTGGAACATTTTGGAGTGTAGTTTTCTGCACCTTTTTGACGAGCTGGAAGAAAGGTTTTCGTACTTCTATTCATGTAGAAACGTTCGTTTTCCCCATGAAATTTTAACAGAAAATGTTTACACATTGAAAATAAGTTTTCTCCACGGATATGAAAATACCCACATGATGGTCCAAGTTCCATATTTACTGTGGACGATGATCTACATGTAGCATTATGATGCGTACCAAGTTCACATAACTGAACTAATTTTAATAACACTGGACATCTTAAGTATGTTTATACGATTTTAAATTTTCGTTTATTCTGAATTTAAGGACATTTTATATTTCCAATTCACCTGTTGACTAGCAATGTTGGTATTTTGCACATTCACTGATGACATGTGTGGTAATTATGTGAAACAGGGATTTTTTTCTTTTTTCCTTGAAGGGTGCACCGGTGGCACTGTCATCTAAGATGCCTCTACTCGCTGTGCAGTGTTGCGACTCTTAAGCGCGCTAGAATCCTAAATCGTGGGTTCTAATCCCAGTTTCATCCTGCCAATGGTTTTTAGGATTGACTGCACAATACCCGTATTTCTGAATGCGCATTTACAAATATCATCAAAGGAAAACATTATCGTGAGGTAAAAAGAGAATCGTTAAAAAACTTCTAATGCCGTTGATGGAATTTTCCGACATTGAAAGAACTATGTCTAAAGATAAGTTATTGAGTAACATATGAAAGCGCTCAAGCGAGTGTTTCGACTTTATGCATTGATACATGCCTGACACCTTCTCACCGAGGCCACAATACGTTGAGGAAAGGCCTGGGGAGTGACATTCCCTATCTGAGGGAGGATAAGTTCCTGTAACGCTGTTGGAGGATTTGGAAGGTGTCACAAATATCGATTCATGTCATCACATACATGCATGTTCGATTGGTGACAAACCAAGAAATCAGATACTGCTCCACAACATGTGGTCTGGCGTTATCGTGCTGCAACGTCACTCCGTGGTCTTTCAGTTGCAAAATCGGTAAAACGTTTACGAAATCGCATCCCGGTATGTTGCAGCATTCACATTACCATCAATCACAATAATTTCAGTCCTTTCTGTAGCCGTTATTCCACCCCAGATCATACAACGGCATCGCCTCCGACGCGATTGCCTTCTAGAATACATGACGTAACTCTCAACGTGACGACTGCAGGAACCTGTCCTGCCATCGGATGAATGAACAGGATCATTCTCCACTGACGTGCCGTCCCACACAAGTGCTTTCAGCACAACTGGAGACGTCGACCTTGAGACGTTGTGCCGTCAGGATTTGCCGTGCGGCTGGGCGCCTCGCGCAGTTCTCGTAGATGCGTAGACGTCGCTGGAAGTCATATCAGATAAGCCTCTGTTGCCAGGAATGGCACGGGCTATGAGAGATGTTGTCTGAAACCCTCGTAGTTCGAACACATATGACTTGGCGAGCAGTTGTTGAGGGTTGGTGGTCATTACTGGGAAGGTTTCTGACGTGTTTGTGCAGTTGATAACGTGCTATATGGTGTCCCTGTGGGCTTTGAAGTGACAGGCGACGTCACACAGCGAGGCACCGGATTCAAGCATTCAAGTGGCTCGTCATCTGTCATTTTTACTTGGCGAAACATTTTGAAATCTCATCGAAACAGTCAAAACTTGCGAAGATTGCTTTAAGTATTTGACAATACTATGAGATTGGATATCTGACCTTTGAAGCAATTTATCCCGAAAATTCCTTTTGTCTTGCAAAAGACATGCAATACCAGCGACATTCGGTTGGATGTGTTTCTAGCATTTTCACATTTTCTCTTGCTCAAATCCAAATGTACGAGAGTTTTGTAAATGAAACACGTCCAAGTTACAATAATTCCTTTTTGAACATACTGGACAGTTAATGTGTAAAATGTGTTAATTGAATGCAATTTAAAAATCTAATCTATCCTGTCACGTATCTCAAATCAAACATGCATGTCTCGTATGTAAAGTAAAACTTCGTTAATAATATGGAAAAAGGTCATAAAGTAAATTCTTTATTTCAGAACGTGTCAGTATCGGTGTCTGTCCTGACTCTGAGCGCCATCTCTGTGGAGCGATGGTACGCAATCTGCCATCCCCTTGCGTTCAAAAGCACCCTCTCCCGGGCACGCAACATCATCATCGTCATCTGGGTCGTCGCTGCAGGCGTGGCCCTCCCCGAAATGATCGTTGTTACGACTAACCCCTATAACTATCCTGGAGACTTCCAGACTATTTACCTGACCACGTGTGCCCCAGCCTGGTTGGAATGGAAGCAGATCATTTACCAGATCAGTCTTGTAATTGTCATGTACGTATGTCCGCTAGTGTTGATGGGACTAACGTATACCAACATAGCAGTGGTACTCTGGCGCAATGACATCCCTGGACAGGCGGAGATGGGGCAGTACTCAAAAGGTTTCGTATGAATACATCCTCTCAGATTGTTTTGAATGCATGCTGTGGTCGAAGACGAGTACTAAAACTGAGCAATAGTTATACAAAAGCCTTTTTTAATGTACACTCTGTGTAGATGCAACGCACATAATGCTCCTTTAGGGAATAGGCAAAATAGACCAATTTGTTAGCTGTCAATGTGATACCGTTATATTGTGATAGCATATGTTTCAGATTCGATGTTATTCTCAACCTTAAGTATTTGTTTCAGACATTCAAGATAAAATTGTTAGACATGAGGTAGAATCTCTATATCTTATGAGGTATTGACGTAATATATTAAAAGTTTTATAAAAGAAATTCTCATATCATTTCAGGACTTTAAAAATCTCATTTAAATACCAGTAGATGTATATTCACATGATGAGACAGTGTGCCAATTATTAGGGGATACATTACATCGCAAAAGTTTTTTACTTTATTCCGCAAAAGTTCCGCAGAAACTCTGAACCGTTTTCGTAGTTACTTTGGAACTTCGCAGAATGTTTGTAAAACTTCTGGGTAGCTACACAAACACTCCGGGGAGCCACTGAGAAGTTTCTGCGAAACTACAATGTAGTAACGTGTACCATACGCATCAGTAGTGTGAGTGTTTTGCTATTGCCAGGCAAGAAACCGATGATTGAAGGGAAAGGGAAGAGCCAGGAGGACAAGATCCAGTCTCGGAGAAAGGCGGCCAAGATGCTAATCACAATAGTCATCGTGTTTTCCATCTGCTACCTGCCTGTACACATCTTAAACATTCTAAGGTGAGCCATGTTTGTTCGATCATGTATTTTATAAGATAATTGTCCCAGTAGGTAACGATGCGAGATGAAATAATCTTCCGGATCGGAAACTGCAGATACTTTTGTATTACCTAAAGAAAGTCCTGGTCGGACCAATGTCATGAAATCTTAACATACAAATTTGTATCCCAATCACGTGTAAGGCGGTCCATAAAAACGAATTGATAAAATGAAACATGCGCCCTCACGCCGCAATGAGGACAAAGCCGATGATGACACCGGGTGTAAGCTGTTTTCTACTGAACTTATTTTAAAGCATATATGTCTTTGCTAATAATCACTAATATCACTGCTGAAGCCATGTCGCATACCTATGTAATTTAAACAACGACGAGCGGTATTGCACTTGTATGGGTAATTGTAGCATATGAGGTATACGCAAATGTTGAGACTAGATGCATGTGATAATGTTTGAAAGACTTCAACAGGAAACAGTTGTGCCAGTGCTGTATTCAATGAATACAGAAAGATTACCTATGACTGGCTTTGTCAACAAATTATAGACGAAGGTGAAGTAAACTGAGTTCGCATTCAGAACGTGAAGGCAGCGCAACCTTTTATTGTTGTGGTATTGCTATTATTGTTGTGGAAACAAAGGCTTCCGCCATAGTAGATTTCCATGACGTATTTAAAGGTGTAAATGAATCTTTGCGAATTCTCATATTTTACTGACAAATTTTATTACATTTTGAAGGAAGCCCGACAGCGGATCATATGAAATCATAATTTGTATAGCCGTTTTTAAGGGTACTTTAAATACAAAGTGTCAAATATTATTGGAATGTTTCTGTGGAATAGTGAAATCCATGGATCAATACAATATAATATCGTCTATTGACATTATTTAAACTTCTCGTTGAATGGATTTAATCATCTCTGGTCTTATTTCAGATTGATTTTGTATCGATTTTATGTTTTTAGCAGCTTCAGGAGGCTTTTGGCTGCTGTATTTGATGTCACATGCTTTGACACAAGCAGTGATTGTTCATGCTGGCATTTAACCATGAACTTCCTGAGAAAATTTCCATACTCCATTTTCAAAGTCCAATATCTATTTCGTCAATACTGGAATACATGGATACCACATATCTTGTCAAAGAACATGTTTTACATAACCAATCTGTCACCATTTAAGAACAACAGTATAAGCTTATGTACTTATATCATTATTGGCATGAATATCTAATAGCAGCCGAGAGGCGCGTTGGCCCAATTGTCTTTGGCGCCGCAATTCGGAGTGCAAAGTTGCGTCGCAAAGGACCTTCAGAAACCGTTGATCGTGGGACCGAATCCCATATTCGCCCTAATTATGGATCGTGATTTGTCTACAACATACCTTTGCTCGTGGGTTTCACGCAAGTAGTAAACGTCTAAGACCTGCATCACAATAAGGCTTTCCTTCCACATCACGATGCTGCCCCGTGATACAACTGATCGTTTTGTTTGTTTGTTGTTTAACACCGCACTCACCAATATTCCAGCTATATGAGTAAAACCCTATTTACTCAAACACACTGATAGCAATCGTGGGTTATATTTATGTTCTACTTCAGCTTCATTTTTTTATAATATTTATACTTATCTTACATAATTCATTTAATCACAACGATGCGTCATATAATTGGTTGGTTTGTTGTTTAACGCCGCACTCAGCAATATTCCACCTATATGACGGCGGTCTGTAAATAATCGAGTCTGGACCAGACAATCCAGTGATTAATGTCATGAGCATCGACCCATGCAATTGGGATCGATGACTACATCAACCAAGTCAGCGAGCCTGACCACCCGATCCCGTTAGTCGCCTTTTACGACAAGCATAGTCACCTTTTACGGCAAGCATGGGTTGCTGAAGACCTATTCTACCCCGGAATCTTCACGGGTCGCGTAGTCAAATAACAAGAAGTGTGCGTACAGGCGTACCTTAATCTGAAATTAGTTGTCTTAAACGTTGTGTAGCGTAGTGAACTAAAATAATCGATAGAGGTATTGCGTAATGAAAATAAAAGTAGATGTCACCCTTAATTACATTTTGAAATGGCTGGCCATGGTCGTTTAGCACATCTTTGCAAAATTGTATTGCATTGTTCATTTATTTCAGGTATTTCAAAATTTTGTTATCCACCAACAATGATGTAGCGGCAGTCCAGAGCCAGCTGTCGCATTGGTTGCCATACTTCAACAGTGCTCTAAACCCTGTTATCTACAATTTCATGAGCGGTATGTTCTACACTTGCATTGTATACATGTGTATTGAAACATTTTATGAGTCCATTTGTGCTTGCGATAATGATACATACAAAACAAATACATTCTGCAGGAACGAAATTTGTATTTCACAGAGTCAATATAACGAATACAACATTCAGATTAAAACGGGATTTATGTAGTTTTTGACAATACTCCATTACTTCAAACTGTTTACAGATGTCAGTGTCTGCACGAAAAGGGATATCACATTCAAAGAGAAAAAAACATTAAGAACTCAACGTCATACTTTTATTAATGCATATGCACTCCGTCATTTAACTGGAATATTGTTCAGAGCTCACTCACTCACTCATTTATGCATATGAGATATAGGAATATGTAAATTTCATTTTGGCATTTGCTCCTCTCTTTCATGAATCGGAAACCTCTTTGGTCTCTTTATCGATTAGAATGACAAAACTGTTATAATCAACTTTTTGAACGAATAAATGTTTCTGATGTTTTAATAATAACATGAAAGAGCGAGCTCTCTCGGGGATTTAATTGCGGGTAACGTCTTCATCAGTTGATAAATATTGTTGAACCAAGCCAGAATTCATCAAAAATTAACAAATCCTTGACATTCGTTTCAACTTGTTATTGGTCAGGAGTTTCTTTATATGGGGGAATAATTGTCATATGCGATATTTGTTGATGAAAAAAATCGTAAATCCGCCACACTGGCAATTAAGCCGGAATCAATAGTATTATCAGACGTAACTTCATCTTAGCACCAGGAGAACCTAAATATTTTGAGGCTTTATTGGAAGACATCGGATATGTCATTTTGGTTTTTTTCACATCCGACTTGTATTCAAGTTTCCTCCCCTGTGTACATTGTATTCCCACAATACCCTATGATGGCCAATTAGTGGATAAACAAGCGTGCATGGGGCATTGAATTACGTTTTATGTTTAATGATGAAGATCGTTCCACAAACCTTTTTTCTGTATTCTGAAATATTTTGCCTCGTAGATCTTATCTTATGTCTGTTCCTGTTCAGAAAGTTTACACTTAACTCATGTGTTTCCGGAAATACTGAGAACGCATCATATCGAACCTTCCCTTGGAAACTATATGACCACACCTTCTCTCGGGTTCATAACACAGCAAAAAAATGCAGTTTCCGGTATTCGGATTCCTTCCGGATACCTCCGGACACTTACCCAAAACGCACTTCTTTATTTTTCTTAATGTGATACTATGAATCATAGCTCAAAATGATGAGATCGGATTTGTCCACGAGATATTGATAAAAGACTATCAACCTCGCCTTGGAGGGAAATACATTTCTCAGCGGGAGAATAAATCCCTTATACCCCGTCTCAAATAAGACAGGCTGTATGGGGATTTCAGAGAGACAGAACAAATCCATTATACCCCCTTCTTTGAAGCAATAGCCTCATACTTTTTCCGAGTCAATGGAAGTCACGAAACACAGCACAAGTTAACTGCAGTTCAATCGAACAGCTGTTTTCTAACAATATTAAATTTGCTTTTATTATTTTACAGTGTCATATTAAAACATGTCGGTGGGATAAATTCGTAATAGCAATATCACTAGGGTACGAACATGGGGTTTTATGCGCCCCTCGTTATAATTTATACCACTCGCTTCCGGCTCGTGGCATAAAACCAACTGCGGGACGCATGGAACCCCATGCACTCCTCGTGACCCTGCTACAACTTATATTGTCTACTTCATGTGAATGTGAAAACAAAAGTATGAAAATAAATTGAATGAAAATGAAAATGTTCTAAATTGCCAATTATTTTACATTATTTATTAACTTTTTTTCTTTCAGCAAAATTTCGCAAGGAGTTCAAGCTGGCTTGCTACTGCTGCCTGAGACCTTGGTATAAAACCAACCCACGTCGACGTGACGGGACGTTCACTATGACGTTCTCTAACAGCAACTACAGCAACTGCCACACTGAAGAAGTCACACTCACAAGCTTTAAAGACTGAATACTTCTGCGCTGAATGGCTTGAAACTCCGAATGTAAACCAGTGACACAAAGACCTTATCAGATTTTTAAATAACGGGATTTCAGACATCTTGCTAGTTGAATGATATAACTTATTTTGTTTGGGATGTCGTGAAACTAAGGTGACTTTTGTATTTTAGTCGATTCCGCGTAATAGGATCGTTAATTGCACATGGCATAGACGCAAGAGCCGTATCACTTGTATTGTCAGGGCGCAATTAGACACGTCACTGTTCATTACTACATTCATGAACTGGTAAAGACCAGAGGCCAGAAGCAACATTGAAAGTGACGAAGTATCCTCAGAGGCCTGGTCAGTAACGTGTGTAGTCTTGGGGTTTCAACTTCATTGGACAGACTTTATTCACGCTTGATCCCATTGATTGTATTGATGAAGCATCACATATCTTGCCGTTAAGAGGTCAGAAATTTATGTTGAGGGGTTGAGTAAAACGTCAGTGAACGATAGTTTAATCACTGACTTTCGGTTGCGTTAATGGAGAATAGTCGTTTAAAACTGACTATATTCTTACTACGTAATGTATCAAATCACACACATAAAGTTGTAAATTAATGTTTCAACCAATTTTATATTCCCAGCAAATGGAAACAGCCTGAAAGGTTTTGGAAAAGTCCATTTCCTCTCTGTGTGTGTGTGTGTGTGTGTGTGTGTGTGTGTGTGTGTGTGTGTGTGTGTGTGTGTGTATGTGCGTGCGTGTGTGCGCGTGTGCGTGTGTGTGATCAACGAATGTAGGAATATGTAAGTGGTTGGTTGGTTGGTATGTTGTTTAACGCCGCACTCAGCAATATTCCAGCTATATGACGGCGGTCTGTAAATAATCGAGTCTGGACCAGACAATCCAGTGATAAATATCATGAGCATCGATCCACGCAATTGGGATCGATGACATGCATCAACCAAGTCAGCGAGCCTGACCACCCGATCCCGTTAGTCGGCTTTTTCCGATAAGCATAGTCGCCTTTTATGGCAAGTATGGGTTGCTGAAGACCTATTCTACCCCGGAATCTTCACGGGTCTGGATATGTAAGTGATATGCTTCACATTGGGCAGAATGTAAATCTTCATTCAGCCTTACAATACTTCTTAATGTCATGATCAACGTCTACTGTGCATGCTAAGATATTGTGGTGTTCGCAATACAGGTTCTATTTTTCTGGAATGAATGTAAATAAAGCAAACAAGGTTCTTTGTTTTGACAAAAAGTCGCGATCAGTTTCATATTTAACAATGTACTGATATATTGAATACATACTTGCAACAGCTGCAGGGACTGGATATGTCGGCCTTCTTTATTAGTCAAAACTTCCAAAAGTGTGTCCACAACACTACCCGCAAGCTAATGATCTAGAATCAGCTTGAAAGATAATTTGATCCAGCGAAAAGATATTATGTCCTGCATAGTAACTGTATTTATTAGGGAAAGACTGTCTTAGTGACTAAAGTTTGTTTAACAGCATAGTAAGTCATACACATTTTCTCGCACTCGTAATCATTGTATGTGGACACGGGTTGTCTGAGGCGCCGCAGTTCGCTGTGCAGATTTGCGTCCCTTGGGCTCGCCAGAAACCTATGATCGTGGCTTCGAATCCCAGTTCGCCCCGATTATATTTCTAGGTTTCTCAGCACCATATCCGTGCTCGTGGGTTTCACCAAAGTGGTCAACGCCTAAGACCTGCTTTTACACGCCGTAATATAACTGGACTACTGTTGATACTCTCTCTCTCTCGCCCATATATACCGGTTGTCAGGATGTGTTATTATGAATGAACACGATACATATCTGTGATGTTTACATGCTACGCTGTTTCACCTACTATCATTGACTTATTTAAAGACGAGTAGATGTTATCAATGTAATATTGCATATCATCAATCACAATGTATACCTTGACATATAATACTACTGTAGAAATGTGTGAGGATCCTTGGGAGTTCAGTCAGTGTATTTGTTTCTCTGTTGAACCCACATCAGACCTTGAACTGTGATGTTTTATATGGAGGTCCTTTCACAGCTTAAATGGCGTTTAAACTCTTGTATATCGATACAGTTGTCCTTAAATGTTATTTTCCTCATGGAAAGGAAACATAAGTGGAGAAGTGTACAATTTGCCTATGATGATAACATGTTTTGTTTTTTTTGTTTACGGGATCTATTGTTATTTGTTATATTGTGCTATTTATTGTAATGTTATCATTATGTATGTTAACTGTGAATGTTGATTTTCCAGATGTCTTGTTATTGATATTACCACGTTTGTTAGAAATAATCACTTTTTTTCACGCAATAAGAATGTATAGAATAACAATTCATTCTTGTTGACGAAGGTCACTGCAAATATTTAGTACCCGGTTGACACGGAATAATAATGTTGACATAACTTCAAATAATCCTAATTTACAGATACAAATCATGGTACAAAAGATATTTATCTCATACACAGTTTGCTAAGTACTGACGTGTAAATGCAATATGTTAGGCGTAGATTTGTATACTTAATACACGACCTAAAGTACATACATAAGCAATAATATCAAGATCTCAAATCTGTTCAGATCAAATGTTTCTCGGGCACATTTTTCTCAAAAGTAAGGAGAGCTGTTGGTTTTTATTTTAATGTTTTATTGAAAATAAAAGTGACACGGGAGGAACAGCTTTGTATTTTTTTAAGAAACACAATTGGGCACACAATATCAGTTGTCAAGCGTATTATTTTTGGGATAACAGAGTACGCTTTTTCACTTCTGATAAATTTCAAAACTAAAGAAAACAAAAAATGGCTAACGCGCAGGTTTTTATTTGAAGCGCAGATTCCCGAGAAGCATTTCCTTACTTTAAGGTTTCTCACAATACTATCCTTTAGTTGTTTTTGACACTACTTTACCATAAGAAATATCTTTTATGATTGGGTTTGGCTGAATCGTACTTGTTTCGGCACTTAATGTAAACAAACTGTGATTCTAAAATTATCGTGACACGTAACTGCAAGGCCATGACACTTTTTCGTCCAAGCCACATATATGACCATTTGAAGTTTTTGGTGGAAACATATTTGTTTTGTGGCCAAGGCCTACCTTATTCCCAAAACGATTATTCAGCTCACAATTACACCATATATCTGATCACATGTATCGATCTAGATAATCATCATATCAACATTGTATCAGTGTTGTCCTAATGTTATATAAAAGGTGCAACGGACTTCGTCTTGGTCAAATGCGAGTGTTACTGTGTACATATATACGTCAGTGGATATGTAATGTGTATACAATATATGTGGACGCAGTTAAGCATTTGTGAAATAAAATTGCATCTCTGAATGCTTTAATGTTTGTTACACTTTTGATATTTTAATAATCTAGCTGGGACGGTCGGGTAGCCTGGTGGTTAAAGCGTTCGCTAGTCACGACGAAGACCCGGGTTCGATTCCCGACATGGGTACAATGTATGAAGCCCATGTCTGGTGTCCCCGGCCGTCATGTTGCTGGAATATTGCTAAAAGCGCCGTAAAACCATACTCACTCATAATCTAGCACATGTGTATATTTACATGTTAAATGACGGTTACAGCTTGAAATCACTTGCTGGATGTGGCCCAGTGATCAGGTGGGCCAGAAACCTATGACCATGGGTTTGAGTCCATGTTTTGCCCTGTTTATAGTTGTTTGTTTGTCAGCACCATACCCGTGCTCATGGGTCTCCTCCCTGGTCAAGTTGACACGCCATGATATTACAGAAAAAGTGTTCAAAGCTGCGTTAAACCATCCTCACTCACTCATTGTCTGATGTGTACAACTTACATTAACATTTATCCTAGTGTCGCTGATCAGCGTTTGCTGTCAGACACAAACAGCCCTTTGGAATAACATTACTTTCCCATTTTAGCCCAGCAGAGAATGGGTACCTAGTGGGATGAGATGACAGTGTGAATGCAAACCCACAGAGTAACATGCATCTGGTATTGTGGAAATATTGATTGGAGGTAAGGCTAAGTTGGATCTGAGAATTAACTTAGAATTCCGCAAAAACACATCCTGTCGGCGTTCAAAGACAGAATAGGTTTCCTGTACTTCTTGTTCCGTGGTTAATGCCAACTGTAGTGAAGACAATGAGCAACCTTGTTGCTGGGGGTGGTGGGTGGGGGGGAGGGGGGAAGGGGGGACGTTGAACGTTTCTTACGCTAGCATATATTTGGTTTGTACATTAATTCGATATTCTCAGGCTGCCATGATAATGCTGTTATATTGCTGTGACAAAAATGTACTGTTCATTCCATACCTGTAAGCAGACTCTCGTTAGCTGCATTTTCGTAAAACTGAAATCATGTGAAATGATATTGCTTGAAATATGAGATTCAGTGAATCATGTATAATTTTCTTGGGGACAGTTTTAGATATCATGTTTTCCTGAGTAGAATAGACTGTAAAGGCATAATATTTATCGTTAGAAAGTAAGGTTTCAGACAATACACTATTCACAAGAAACGTGAAAAAAACTGGACATTTTCGTTATTAAGGAAATTTCAATTGAACTAATGGGCCCATATCATAAATGTGATTGCATAAAAACGGATAGATAGCCCAACGGGGAAAGAGTGTCACTACTTTTTATTTAAAATCTTCGAAAAGTGAAACGTTGACTGAATGTTTACTAATGGAGAATACTGTTAAATATGTTACTTGTGTTGCAACAGCTAAACATAGGCATCTTATTGAAATAACCTAATGATCCGTAAACAGTAACAAAATAGTTATGTGGTTCGTTTAAGTGTTATTTGGATTGATTATGAATGATTGCGTTGACTGTGTGACGTCAGTGCTAATATTTACATTCACTGGGTTTTCATAGTTGCTTCGTGTGATACAATCTTCCATTTGTACATTTAAGGTATGTGGGATATGTCTTAAAAGATGTCCATACTTCGAAACAAATCTGCTTCTTTCTGATCATATTTCTAAACCTTCACTCAGTCTGTATTTTAGAACTGGTTACCACAAACTACCGAAACGAGAACAAAGTATATGTACATTGTGTGACTCCAAAGTAATTGGCGATGAATTCCACTATATATTTAGATGTAATTCACATTTAACCTTACACACTGAATATATTAATGAATACTATACAAAATGGCCAAGTACACTCTTCAAAAAAAGAAACGCACATGTAGATTTTTAGTAAATTTATTGTATCTAATAAAATCGATATATCTAATTTAATATCATAGATACAAATATGAAATTTTGGAGCTCGATAGTCACATTGTCGTTGTACAAAGGCATTGAAAACTGTTCATTGTCATTCTGCGCCATTCTGCTTGTAACGCGTTAGCCAGTTGTGGGAATGTCTGCGGCGTGTTCTGACGTTGACGTACACGTCGATCGAGTTCATCCCAGAGGTGTTCGATTGGGTTGAGATCTGGAGACCTCGGCTAGGTTTGTTGTTTAACGCCGCACACAGCAATATTCCAGCTATATGACGGCGGTCTGTAAATAATCAAGTCTGGACCAGACAATCCAGTGATTGATATCATGAGCATCGATACACGCAATTGGGATCGATGACCATGCATCAACCAAATCAATGAGGCTGACCACCCGATCCCGTTAGTCGCCTTTTACGACAAGCATATTCGCCTTCTACGGCAAGCACGGGTTGCTGAAGACCTAGTCTACCTCGGATTATCACGGGTCGAATGATTGGAAGAAGATGAGGTTGAAGAATTTGATTCATTTAGCGATTTCCCTGAACCATAATCAAGTCAGATCTCTCAGAGATGCTGTGGCATTGCGATGACGTTGGTGGAACAGTCGAATGTAGGGATCCTGTGCAGGGGTGGTAACTCTTGGTCACCCGGTTCTCGGCCG